GGAAGAATGAGGTGAAGTCATTATGCCAGGTTCATTCTGGATGCGATGTCATATTAGGTTGTTTTGGTTCCTAATGTAGCAGTGAATTTGGCCCTAACCAAAATCCCTGTACATCACAAGAAGCAGAAAAGACTGATGCTGCATCTTGAAAGGTACACTTTTCTGAAAACTGTAGCTCGCTCTCCTGCCTTTTCATCTGAAGGAAACAGATGGTTTCTCGCTCGCCCAGCTTTGGTGAAAGCACAATGGGTAAAAATAAAAGCAGCGGGCTGGATTGCATCGCTGGGTAATCTGCATGCCATCCCACTGACTCTGACGAGAATACGGGGAATGAAAATCAGTGTGAAGCATAACCCAGAGAGTTTACAATAGTATTTACCTGGCATTTACTATTAGAAGAGTGAGGGAATACGTACGTGCTCAAAAAAAGAAGTGAATTCATCCCCCTTTGAAAGTGCTCCTACTCTCCAGCATAACGCTGACCACTGCGAGCAATTCTGAGCAAGTTGTTCTTCTCTACGCGTTCTTCTTCCTCCTCCCCACAAGTAGTTGGGAAGCTCCCTCATGAGATTTTAACAGCAGGCTTAATTAACAACTTGTTTTTTCGGCTGAACGCCTAGATTCCAGTATCCGTGGACATCCACTTTGTGGCAATGCTAGGAAAAAGGTCTGCTCAGTCAAAGAGTCAGCCAGCATGGAAGCTCCATGTCCTTCGGTTTTCAAAAGTAATATGAGGTGAGTAATATGAAGTCTGTCAGCAGGTGGTGACCAGTAGTTCAGTGCCAAGCAGTTCTGTAGTGACCTACTTAATTTTTGCACAATTTGGAAAAAAGTGTGTGGAAGAGTTGTTTTCCTAAATGCATTTTATGAGGAAATACATTTTTCTTCCACTTTGACTTTTTTGCTTGCCTTTTAATATAAGGGGAAGTAAACTTGTTAATAATAACATCCTAATAATTAAAGTACACTGCTGCTCAGTACATTTTTGCTTTCCTATTCTTCCCCAAAGCTAATCTGATGAATTTGTTCTATCAAAGTGGGGTACATCATTCATGTCATCTTATGTCACATCAGGCGTAATGGGATGTGACAACTCAAGGTAACACATCAATTAGGGAAAGGCAGGAGTAGAGATTTGTTGATGAAAGACAGGATGTTTATCCAGCTTCAGGCATGGTGGTTTGGTAGTGTGGGGTGACAAGGAGGTTATTTTAAAACTTTAGACCCCAATTCAGTGATCATGTACTATAATTTACATTGATTTTCGGTCCTTCTGTTTGTAAATTATACTAATTTACATATCCCAAAGCTCAACCACTTGCTGATATATGACTCAAAACCTTTCAGTTATCCCATCTGTGCTGAGCTGCGCTTGACTGTACGCAGGCCAAGGGAGTGGGGTTGAGAGTGAATGAAGGGAGAGGATGAGAGGTATTTTCTGCAGTTCAGCGCTGGTGTGAAACGAGAGCTCACATGAGTCTGCACACATTTGTTAATCCAAAAGGGATCCCGTTGTTCTGAGCTGCTGGTGGCATTTTGTGGCACAGTGGCTTGCTTTCATTCTTTTATTAGCTGGTATTAGCAAATGAAATGTGAAATCAATGGGTTATTGCTTCCAGCAGGTCAAAGGTTTTTGTATGTTTTTTCTAAGTCATTAATGTAAGTGGCCTTGGATTAAAAGTCAGTGAAGCATGAGCTTCAGCAGGGAAACATAAGTTTGTGGGGATTAGAGATCAAGATGAAAAGCAAGAATCTGCAGGAACAGAGGGGTTTTCAGGTGTGTTCTGCCCAAGAACCGGAGGAACAGGAATGGAGCAGGGAGCGGGGAGCAAGTATTAAAGGATGTGGAAGCATGAGGGAACCTCGCCTGCATCTGCAAACACTGGTTGAGTGCTCCCTGGAAGCAGCATCCAGCCTCCTCGTCCTCTGGTTTTCTTGAGAACTGATGCTGCTTTCAGAGACGTTTTGGAGCCCTTTAGAGCATAAAGACAAAGACTGTCACTCCATCCACCATTCCCATAGGGTCCACTGATGCTTGGAGCGTTGGTTTGCTGATGAGACAGCTGTCGCTACTGGACACAGTGTGTTGTCACTCTGACACAGATCATCAAGATATTAAATGAATGCGTGAATGGAGCAAGACTCCTTGCTTTCATGTCCTTGTGAAATACATCTGAAAGGGCTCTCCACAGGTCATCCATCCGCCCCTGTACTCCAAGTAGTCAACTGTATCTAGATTCAACAGAAGTTTCTCTAGCCTTTTCCAAAGGACCTCTAAGGAGGAGTTTGCACAGGATCCTTATTGTCCTTAATTATAATTAGTCAGAACGATCATCTTAATATCTGACCTGGTCCTCTGTTCTTACAAATACAGAGAGTAATCTATTGGAAGGGACTATATGTATGCTGGGGAATAAAGTCAGAAACCAAAATTGTCATGGCAATTGGAAATATGGTCTGAATCAAGAGGATGTGGTTTAGCAGGGCACCAGACCTTAGGCTGGGGCAATAACGATCAGCTGCACAAAAGCAGGCCTGTGAGGTTGATGAGACAGCTGTCCCAGAGACTGGGGCTGGAGGAGCAGAGAGGGTGATGGCTGAGCTTGAGCTCCTGGTGTTTTGCTACTGTGAAACAGGTAAGTGCTGTGCTGGGCGGAAAACTGGAAAAGTAGCCTAGAAGATAGCAGTTCAGTCCAGTTAACAGTCCAGTTTTGGGTACTGTGCTTCCAGATGGTTGATAGCAAGCTGGAAAGGGTCTGGAAGTGAGCGACGTGAGCTGGCTGATGACTAGAAAATATGACCGTTAGGGAAGGCTGAACAAACTGGACTTGTTTAGCCTAAAGAACTGAAAAGGGAGGGGAGGTGTGACCGTACTGCCGCTCTGAAGCGGAGGAGATGCTCTCATTTCTGTGCTCCTTCTAGAGAGGTCTTCTGTTGTGACAAGGAAGATTTAAGTTTTGTGTTAGGAAAAACTTCCTAAGGGAGCAGTAGTAAAGCACCAGAATTTATTGCTAGGGACACTGTAGAGCTTTCATCAACAAAGGTTGAATTAGACAAACACCTCTGAAGAAACACCGGTATATCAGGGCAGGGAGCAGCCCTCGGCCCTCTGAGCCATTCCCTCCTGCCTGAATATCACGTGGCACTTTTTAACAAGCAGGACAGTTGTAGTCCTCTCGGTCTTCTCTCTTCCCAGTGAAGCAACCCCTATTTTTCCAGTCTTTCCTGATACGTTCTGGTTCTTACGTTTGTGATTATTTCTGTTGCTTTCTTCCAAGCTCTTTCCCCTTGATCCCTCATTCTTGAGGTCTGGGTGGTCTCGTTGAGGCTTTTCTTGAACAGTATGAAAGGATTGCTTTCTACTGCTCACCTATGAACATCGTCTATGTACGTCTCAGCATGCTTTGTTGGTGCTCTTTTTTTCTTTTAAGCAACAGTATAATACCAATTTGTGATCATCACATGGTCTATACCTTCACAGTGTAAAGTGGAGTTTAAGAAATAGTAAACAAACAAAAAAATCTATTTTGGTGTTTAGTGTTTTTCTAATGCAACAGACAATTCCTTGCGGGAGTAATTCTAGATATCAAAGGGATGATGTTGTATATGTCATATTTCCTCCTGTGTATGTTTTTAGAGATGTTTCTGAAGCAGAATGTCTCCGGTCAGAATATTTGAAACAAAGCAAACACCTTCATTGTGAAACAAAGTAATCACCTTCACTGAGAAGTAAATAGTGGGATAGCTATATCACGATATGTTGTCAACAGTTCATATCACGCTTAGGGCTGTAATAGCTTTCATGGAATATCTTCTTGTTTGGCAGTAGTCAAGTAAATAAGAAATGAAATAAAACTGCAGTCTATGAAATATTCCAGTCCTGGTGTAGAAGGTTTTATTAGATTCAGAGTGCATTTACAGATCGGTAGAAAACCTCAGGCATTTGCCAATTAAATGAACTTGTGAGGGGTACCACTGCCTTGCTCCCCTCCTCGCGGGATAGAGGCAAAGGCAGGTGAATTGCCAGCTCTTTGGGAGAGCTAAGTTTATGTTACTGGTCAGACCTTGGAGCATGAGGAGAGAATATCATAGAGTTCTTCGGGTCTCTCACTATAAAGCATATTCCTTGCCTTCCCAATGTTTTTAGTTACTTCTAAATTTCTTTTTTTCATGTTCCACTGTTCTTTTAAAAACGTGAACTTCCTGATACACGTGCAGCCTTCCAGTAGTTGCTTTGTTAACATAATAGAGGGGCTAAAACCAAACATGCTCCTGGGCTTCCTTTTGAAATTGTCTTTCTCATGGAAGAAAGTTAGAAAGTTTGTGCGGCTTGTGCAGTGTAAGCCTGTTGGTGCTTTGCACGCCTTCTTCTCGGGGCCCAGATACAGTCTCCAACTGTCTGTCTTTGGGAGAGTGAGTGTACAGTGCCAAACAGATCTGCCCGGTGGGTGGTGCTAATGATTTCAGTGCAGTTGCATATTTGCTCATGGTTTGGATTTGAAAGAGAAAAAGTAAGTGAGATGGGAAAAAGAAAACTTTTGATGCTGGCAACAGAAGTATTTCTGGAAGCTCTCCTCTAGCTGGAGTGTCCTTGAGATTCTGCCACAGCTCTAACAAGGTGCGTCTCTCTTAAATATTAAAAAAGAACATGTTTCAAAATGCTTTAAACTATTTTGATTGTTAATGCAAAAGAAAAGCACTTTTTTTTTCAAATGTAGCTGTAATTTTCTACTGATTTCATATGGTATTGAGTAATAAAATTATTAAATACTGACTGATTCCCTGCTCTCCCACTGCTCTCAGTGTATCTATGAAGGGTTTCCCAGAGGAAGTTCTGACAGACTTTAAGCCCTCAGCCATGACAGTGTGGAGGAAAAAGCATTGTCTGGCTTGCTCAGCTCTTAGCTCTTGTGTTTTCACGATGGTTTTACTGAATTTATCGGTATGTCCTAGTTCCTGGTTCTCTTCATAACTGTTGTGCCCTTTTCTGATGTTAACAGGGCTTGGTACCTCATGGTCGCATGGTCCAACTGAAAAGCACTGGGACATCTTGCTCTCTGGACACCACCACTGCACAAAGCCCCTGCCAGGTTCCCAGGACCATCCGTACAGCTGCGGGGCTGGCTCTTCCTCCACCGTAATTCTGGGTTGCACCTGACCTGTAGGAGAAACCTTTCAGCTAAAAACTTGGATGTGGCCCTAGGCGTCAAGAAGCAAGCATGCTGCTCCAGAACTACGATACGGATAAAGCATGGACACGAGGGAGAGCCACGTGGCTGTCCAGTAGAGCTTCCAACAGTCGTGTCAAGTGATAATCACTGCAGCCTGACACAATGAGGTAGCTGTGGCTTGGAACAGGGGAGGGAACATGGAGTCTTGCCTTTTAGGGTTTGTTGCTTCCCTTTTGCTGTACAAGGTGTCGCAGAGAGCTCTGAAGCTGGATTCGCTGCTGCTGAACTCCTTATGAAGTCAATGGAGTTGCTATTCCACCTCTCCGCTTGCTTAAAGTGTGTGTTGTAGATCTCCCTTCACCCATTCATTCATTTCTTCCCTTTTAATGAGTAGGTTAAATTTCTTGTGTGGTACAGCAAGCATTTGAGATGTGAAGGTTCCTTTTCCTCATCTCCCTCTTATTGAAGGTGGCTTTGCTCCCAGTAACTCCTGTCATGACATAATTGGACCTTATTCTCACATAAATACCAGAGTTAGAGTTACTGTTGTTGGGTTTTTCCATTATTTTGGGTGGCTGATATTTTTCACATTCCTATTCTCTTCTTAACGCAAAGCTGACTACATTTACTAGGTTTGTTTGCCTTCCTCAGAAGGACTTGAATATTAGTCCTCAACTTGTCTGTGTATCTCTACTTTTCTTACTCTCCCCTTTCATTGATTTATGACACATGTGGAGGCCAAGAGGCAGTACAGGACATGAATCATATAAAAAGAATGCAGACATTTCATTTGCGTAAGTTAATTGTTTTATTTTTACCTGTCCCTTGTGTTTCTGCAATCCTATGGGTGGTGTCTTAGAAAAATACAGATAGTAGACTGGACCACTGCCAAGTGCTGCAAGTATCACATGCTTTGCAAAAGGTTGCAACATCTTAGTGGGAATGATTATCTTCACAGTAGAGATGGTAATAATTTTAAGTGCTGTTTTCTTGGAGTTTGTATTAAGTTTAGCAACAGCCCTGGTTTCTTCAGGTTCTTAGATTCTGCTGATCCATATGGATCTATCTTTCTTATAGGGATTAATTTTGAAAAAATCTGTCTCTTGAGATGTTCTACAAATTATGCAGTCAAACTGCCTGTGTTTGGGAAAATCACAAGGTCAGAGCAGCTAGAGTACTACTAGTATGTCCTCACCCTGGGAAAAACAACTTGTCTGGGCATGGTGTCTACCCTACCAGACTGAGACTTGTTTCCAAAAACAGTCCCTGACTGATGGAAATCTGTAATTCCAACATTGCTGGTATCCTACAGCTTTATTTTCAGGGTCTTAAATCTTGTTTGGCTGGACAGTTAAAACAAAACAAAACAAAACCCAGCAACACCCGACATCCTGCCTGACTTTAATTGATAAAAGCCAAAGGTGAGCAAAATGTACTTTTCTTTCTTTGTTAGTTATGGCAAAATGCAGGGGCTTTTGCTGTGGTTAACCTGTGGAGTCAAATGCATTGCAGAGTGATTTGCTAGCTTATTATTTGCTAGTAAGATGCGCTGTGGTCTTTACAATAGCAAGCCTTAGCTGAAGGAATGAGCCTAGGGAAGAAAAGAGATCTAAAAAGTTGTGTCTGAGTGTGTTAGATGCATTGTTGTGTGAGTTTCAGAAAACCTACCAGTTTAAAGTAAGAACAATATGCTTTTCATGGGCAGCTGATCTTCATTCCATTCATGCATTTATTAAAGCGTTTTGCTTTGTGCTTCATTTGACAGTAGATTTCAGTACATTAGATTAACTGATTCACTGGGTGCAGTGCAAAGCACTGCAGTTCAAAGCAAGCACTCTATACGATCAAAAAAGTCTATTCTACCATTTCCTTTAGAAAGTGCTCTGATAAGATCATGATGCATAAGAGACTGTATGTAAAACTATGCAGCCAACTGTATGTGAGTACAGTTGGAGCTGGGGGACTTGCAAAAGCTGTTGGTAGGGCCAGCCTGAGGTGGCCATTCCTAAAAGCTCTTTTCTGTTGCTTTCTGAATTTTGCATGTTAAAAGTTTTTTCTATTTAGTCTCTCCCTGCGGGCTGGAATTATTTTACAGGACGGTTTCAGTGAAAGGACTAAAGCAGTTTAGAACATGAGAGGCAGCAGACAGGTTTTTCAGAGAACCGTTTGCTTTGTTTTTATGCGTCTGTGGCGTGAAACAAGCTGAGTCTTGAAACTCGGTCAGAAGACAACAATTAGCTAGGGCGTTTGTTTGATACAGTTTTGAAGAAAAAAAGTGCTTTTCTGAAATCTGGGGTTTCCTTTTTAATAAGGATCTAGAACATGTAATGAACACCACCATCCTGGCTTGCAGCAGCCTCTGAGTGGGCTTTTAAAATCAGCTCACGTATAAAATAATATAATGACTGGCATACTGTACAGTAAATGAAGGGTATATTAACATGAATGCAGCAGCAAACAAGGGAATGCGATGCACAGTGTGGGTGCCCTAACACAAATTTGTCTTCAGCCTCATTTTGTCAAGCGCAAACTGAGTCAAGGAAAAGTAGCTCTTTAGAAAGAAGTAAGGTGCTCGCTACTAACATACAGGTAGAGCAGACCTGCTGGCCACATGTTTTGTTTGGTGCTAGAGTCACAGCCCAGGTTTGTAAAATCTGATCATACCCGTGTGCTGCTTCTGGGGAAGAGCAGGCGTGCGTTATAGGGACAGTGGCAGTAAGCTCGGGTAGCAATTGGAGTCACGGGCAGTTTGCATGCAGCTTCCCAGCCAGGCTGTTCAGAAAGGCAGCGTTCTTTCTTTCTCCTTATTGTCTACACAGCCTGAATCCTGATTTTTTTCAGATGGCTTATTTCAGCCCCTAGCCTGGCTCATGTTAAGTAATCTCCATGTCTCTCTGCTAAACCCAGCTCCCTTTGAAACTTTGCAGGGTCTAATATTTTCTACTTGGCCTCTGCTGCGCATGAAAATCCTTTTAGTGCAATGAGGTCCATCACTCTGGGTCCTGCAGCTTCAGACTGGTGTTTCCTTGTCTTCGGTTCAGGTGCTGTTTGCTACAGATTCCCTTGTGTCCAGCCTTGCAACACACGTTTTTCTGTCTTCATAAAATTGCCCGCTGGCACATGGGAAGCAATTATCCCTTTCTCTCCCCTAAGTGCCTATAAGCCCCATGGTTCCCTGCCTCCCACGGCTGAGTGCTTTTAAAAGGAGAGTGCTGTACCCATCAACAGGTGTCAGCAGCATCTGCTGTCAACATGGCATCACCCTCGCAGCCGAGCAGCCTCCTGCCAAAGAGCTGGCGCTTGCACCCTTATGCATATTCCCCATCTGCATGCAGATTCACTTAGCACCTCTTGCCCTAGTGGAACTGGCACGTGTCTCCATGTGGGCCCAAAGCCACACAAGCATATGCGCTCAGGCTGCTCCAAGTGTGTACAGCGCAGCGGCAGCGCATTTGCAAAACACGAACAGTATTCCCACACAGGAAGGGGAGTGCAACTTTCAGGCCTGGGACTGTCATCTTAAATCTGTGTCGGTTGAGTATACTGTGATCCTGTGGCTTTTTTTGTGTTGTTTAGTGCTGGGACAAAGGTCCGAGTATGCTCTTTTCCTTATCTCTGCAGAAGGCTTAATCTTCAAAATTGTTTTTCATATTTGGTTAGTTTTTTCAAATTTGAACACAAAAAATCAGTAATTCAGATTGCTAGTAAGGTATGTAAAGAAGAGCATGTTTTCTGTGGGCAACGCGCTGTACTGTGGATTTGAGCCACTGATGTCTGATGCCCTTCCTTGCATTTCCTCCGTGTCTGTTGCTATGCCTTGCCTCTCTTGGCTAATGCAATTGCAAAAGGCTACAGAGTCATCTGCTTTAGCCTTTGTTTCCCCCAAATCCAAGCAACTTCTCCCCACTGTTTTCCCCTTGCCTGTGGGTTTCTGAACATGTCGCTATGTGTCCCCAGATCCACAATTTAGCCTTAAAAAGAGCTTGAACCTGGTAGTGAGCAGGGTTGCCGTGTGAGTTTGGCTACTCAGGTTGTCCTCTGGATGCCCCTGCCCTATCCCTCTTTTGTTATAGGGGCTATTCCAGGCACATCTGAGACATCGCAACTGCAGTCATGTCTGTCACAGAAGAAGTGAAACGATGCTTCTGACGGGAGAGCCCGTGGGCTTTCCTTCTGCCTGGGGCTACTGCAGTGTAGCGTGCTGCTAGATGTTGGAGGCAACAGGATCCTGTGCTGCATACAGGAACGAGGCAGCATCTCCCTTGTCCCCGGAGCAGTGTGTTGGCATCCCCATTTACACCTGATCCTTATTCCTTTCCCCCAGAGAAAGAGTTGCACCAGAAAAGGGGATTTCTCTTAAGGCCTTCCTCCTACAGGTACTACTTGAACCATAAAGCCCCAGGCCCACAAAAGGGGACTGCAAGTTAAGGACGCCATCTTCATAGGGTGCCCTTAGCTTTCCCCGACCTTTACTAATTTATTCTTTCCCGGCTTCTCTCTGAGTATGTCCCAGACGTCATCGTCTGGCCCATAAGATCAGCCATTTGAATGATAGTGACGTTTTCTCTGAAAATGTTCGCCTTGTGACAGAGACATTGGAAAATATTCCCTGAATGATTTATCTTTTGCTTACTCACATTTGGATGCTCAGCAAGAATCCAGTTCCATCTGAGCGACTGAGCACAGCACACAGCACGTCTGTGGCACCGGGCCAGCCCTCAGCAACGCTTCCTTACTCGCCCAACTGTTACTTTAAAGGCAATTACCAGTAGCGTTACCCTCGTTAGCCCTGCTCGAAGGGAAGTTGTCCAGTTGGACGCCACAGTAACCCCTCCTGGATTTCTGTAGGTGAGTGAGTGGCACACCTCATTCTCATGTCTTCTCCAAACTCCTCCTTATTTTGTCTGTTGTCAAAAATAGTGCTTGTCGATTGGATCGCCACTTTTATCTAAGTTTAGAAAAAGAAATCAGCAATTGCAAGAAATTATGCAGCCTGTAGTAATGGTATTATGGCTGCCTTTCCTTCGGAATTAGAATGCCAGGAATCTGATTTCGGTGGCTGTGCTGCTTAGCTGCTGAGAAGAAACTTTTATGGGATAATATTGATCTAGTTGGGACCCGCAGAGCTTGCCAAGGTATGGGTCATTAGGCAGTGTTTGCAAGGAGT